GGCAAGATGAAACTGTTACAAGTCGAAGACAGGCTTTTTTAAATAATTTATCTACTAGTTTAAATCCACCATCAGGAAAGGGGCGCAGACTAATAATAGTACACATCGGTAGTTCAAACGGTTTTTTAATGGTGGTTTATTGACTTTTGAATCTACTCGTACCGGTGACTACCATAAAGACATGAATGCTGATGTCTTTAAAGAGTGGTTCTAACAAATTATAGATCTTCTTCCTCAGAACTGTGTAATAGTAATGGATAATGCAAGTTATCACTCGAGACTTATAGAAAAAATGCCCACAACCAAGTGGTTAAAAAAAGATTTACAGAATTGGCTAAATTCAAAGAATATTAAGTTCCATCCCGGTTCTGTGAGAAAAGAACTGTATCAATTGTGTTCCCTTCATAAAGAGAAATTAAAAAAATATGAAATTGATGAAATTGCAAAAAATCGTGGGATGACGGTGGTTAGTCACCACCATATCATTGCGAAGTAAACCCGATTGAACTGATATGGGCACAGATAAAGGGAGAAGTTTCAAGAAAAAATAATTCTTTTAAAATGAGTGATGTTAAACAGTTGTTTTCGGAGGCTGTAAATAATGTGAAGCCTGAAAATTGGGAAAAGGCAGTAAATCATACGATTAAAGAAGAAGAGAAAATGTGGAAGTTGGACAATATTACTGATGAAATGATCGAGCCACTCATTGTAAATATTGGTTGCGACAGTTCATCTTCTGATTTCGATTCTGATTTGGATTTGTAGGTAAGAAGTAGTTTTTATATTAAAATTATTATTTATGAACGTAACGTTGTTTAAAAGTCAAAGTTTAAACCCTTATACCTACATAATCCGTTTGACACAATGTTCTTAACATACCTTGTGGAAAAATAAAACATTTTAGAAAAAATTGCACTTTTTTACCTTCAGCTGTTTAGAAGTTATAAGCAGGTTAATTAGGTGAAAATATAAGTGTATACTCGAGGAATAACTTCAAAACATATTTTAACTGTCTACTAAAAGAAGTGATACGCCTATGGATTACGAACGCTTTATTATTTTAATACTCTCTCATACATAAAAATAGACTATAAGTAGTTATTAACTCGGGTAAATCTAAATACATTTTTCGATTTTTATTATTTCCAGGTTTACAAAAAAAAAAAAAAAAAAAAAAAGGCTTTGTAGAAACAAAAATAGTTGAAATAAACATTATATTGGCTAAAGACTTGTTTTTTTACATTTTGCTTTGTTGATATATTAAAAAAAATGTTTTATTTTATTTAAGTTCCAAATACAGACATAAGTTTTAATAGGAAATTCGATAACAATTATATAATATAGCATTAATTTTAATTTAAATGAAAATAATGAACAAAAATTTAGTATAATAAACAATTTGAGAAAAATTCCTCTAGAAAGAAGGTCATTTTTTTATATTTTTCATATATTGACGATCCAGCAAATTCCCACGTCTTTACATTTTCCGTATTATCCCACTTCTGAATATCAATACTGACACACCCTCGCAACTTCGCTGAGTCAAAGGATGAACCACTCGTGCACGCTTACCTCTTTTGCTTACCTTGCTACTTTCAAACACCTAGTCTTTTTTACCAACTTGATATTCGTAGTCGCCAATACTGATGCCATTCAAGAGTCTTTAAAAGAGCGAGTTGAAAAGAATGTTTAAGAATTGAAATATGTATATTAATAGTACAATTAATTTAAATGCAGCATCATTATGTTTTTGATAATAATAAATTGAAAAGTCTGAAATAAATAGATCAAAAAGTTAAGTTAAATTCAAATGATCAGTTCATTGCAAAGCTTATTAAACAATTGAAATTTTAAATTCTAATGTATTTTAAGATGTCGCCAATTAATGAGTTAAAAGATGGAATAAATAATAGCATCAAAAAATTGGTAAAATTAGAAAAAACAGTGGAAAATTTATAAATTAAAAACAAGAAACTTGAAAAAACAATAATCTTTAATTCCGGTTATATGAACGAAGATCTATTGGATTTTACAATTAATCTACTAAATAAAAATTTAGGTATAACACTTGAAGTGAATGATATACACAAACTTTTTGCAGCAAAATTATTGTAGTAAAATTTACCAGATATGTAACAAAACAAGTTATTTCAAAAGTTTGCAGTAAACTAAAGGGAAAGAAACTATCAATTGCAGAAGATTTAACAGAGGAAGAGCGCTTTGAAAGAAAAGAGTTAATTAAATATCAACATGAAGCGAGAAACAAACAAAAAAAATCGCATGTTTATAAGAACATACATTAACACTAAAAGCTATACATATCAAGATCTAATAAATGGTAAGCACGAAGAAAACTCTAAATTAAACATAAGTAAGTAAAGAAACTGTCGTAGAACGGGAGAAACAGGAAAAGAAAACAAAAAACAACTCTGGCCCACCTACTATCAAAAGTTCTAAAACACGAAAAACCTCAAGCGCTTTATAAGAACTTTATTTACTTTATTTACCTTGTCCTTGTGGTTGTCCTTATTATTAGATTAAATTTAATTAGGTATTTTATGTACATTTCTAGATAAATATAAATGGATAAATTTTTACAAAATTATGAAAATGAAGAGATTGCGGTCCAAGTAATAGACACACCCCACGAATTTTACGGCATCTCATTTATAGAGCACCCTGTATATATAAGAATCGTTGTTAAATATGGTTATACAACTTTTAAATTAATTATTTTTTTGTAATTCAAATAATAAAACAGCTATCGATCAATTATGCACTTATGGCACACCCTGTATATGTGTTATTGGCTAACACTGTAGAGCACGTGATTAATAACAATATCTGAACACAATTTGATGTTAAACTTGCTCAAAGAGTACGTCACAATCTATTATATAGTAAAAATTGATTAATAGATTGCGACGTGCTCTTCGAGCACGTCGTTAACAACAAATTGTATTCAGATATTGTTGTTAACGACATGTCGCAATCTATTACACAATATACATTATATAATAGATTATGACACTGTACACTCTATTTAAGACATCGTTAACTACAATATATGAATACAATTTGTTGTTAAACGTGCTCAAGAATGTGCCACAATCTATTATATAGTGTAAATTGTATAATAGATTGCGACGTGCTCTTCGAGCACGTCGTTAATAACACATTGTGATCAGCTATTGTCGATAACGACCTGCTCAAAGAGCACGTCACAATCTATTGCACAATATACACTATATAATAGATTATGACACTGTTGACTCTATTTAACACGTCGTTAACTACAATATATGAATACAATTTGTTGTTAAACGTGCTCAAGAATGTGCCACAATCTATTATATAGTGTAAATTGTATAATAGATTGCGACGTGCTCTTCGAGCACGTCGTTAATAACACATTGTGATCAGCTACTGATGTTAACGACGTGCTCGAAGAGCACGTCGCAATCTATTGCACAATATACACTATATAATAGATTATGACACTGTTCACTCTATTTAACACGTCGTTAACTACAATATATGAATACAATTTGTTGTTAAACGTGCTCAAGAATGTGCCACAATCTATTATATAGTGTAAATTGTATAATAGATTGCGACGTGCTCTTCGAGCACTTCGTTAATAACAGATTGTGTTCAGCTATTATTGTTAACGACGTGCTCGAAGAGCACGTCGCAATCTATTGCACAATATACACTATATAATAGATTAAAACACTGTACACTCTATCAAGCACGTCGTCAACTACAATATATGAATACAATTTGTTGTTAAACGTGCTCAAGAATGTGCCACAATCTATTATATAGTGTAAATTGTATAATAGATTGCGACGTGCTCTTCGAGTACGTCGTTAATAACACATTGTATTCAGCTATTGTTGTTAACGACGTGCTCGAAGAGCACGTCTCAATCTATTGCACAATATACACTCTATAATAGATTAAAACACTGTACACTCTATCAAGCACGTCGTTAACTACAATATATGAATACAATTTGTTGTTAAACGTGCTCAAGAATGTGCCACAATCTATTATATAGTGTAAATTGTATAATAGATTGCGACGTGCTCTTCGAGCACGTCGTTAATAACAGATTGTGTTCAGCTATTGTTGTTAACGACGTGCTCGAAGAGCACGTCGCAATCTGTTGCACAATATACACTATATAATATATTATGACACTGTACACTCTATTTAACACGTCGTTAACTACAATATATGAATACAATTTGTTGTTAAACGTGCTCAAGAATGTGCCACAATCTATTATATAGTGTAAATTGTATAATATATTGCGACGTCCTCGAAGAGCACGTCGTTAACAACACATTGTGTTCAGCTATTGTTGTTAACGACGTGCTCGAAGAGCACGTCGCAATCTATTGCACAATATACACTATATAATAGATTAAAACACTGGACACTCTATCAAGCACGTCGTTAACTACAATATATGAATACAATTTGTTGTTAAACGTGCTCAAGAATGTGCCACAATCTATTATATAGTGTAAATTGTATAATAGATTGCGACGTGCTCTTCGAGCACTTCGTTAACAACACATTGTGTTCAGCGATTGTTGTTAACGACGTGCTCGAAGAGCACGTCGCAATTTATTGCACAATATACACTATATAATAGATAAAAACACTGTACACTCTATCAAGCACGTCGTTAACTACAATACATGAATACAATTTGTTGTTAAACGTACTCAAGAAGTGGGCCACAATCTACTATATAGTGTAAATTGTATAATAGATTGCGACGTGCTCGAAGAGCACGTCGCAATTGCACAATATACACACCTACCTAATCGTTTAAAGAATAATGCATGTTTGATAATGTTAATTCTCTATTAAAAGTTTCCCTTTAAAAAAAAAAAATTAATAAACTTTATAACTATATAATACATTTTTGCATTATATATTTTTTAAATCCATAGATCAAAATAGTTAAATTAAACTGTACTCACGTGGATATTTTTCTTTGTGTTCCAACGCGATAAGTCGAGCTTTCTCAAAATACTTATTTTTCTCTTCGGCGCCCAAATTTTTCCAATTACTGCCCAATTTCTTGCTGATGACTTTATTGGAATCGGCGGGATATTTATGAGACATGACTTTTCTATTTTCCGTTGCATATAACATGAATGCATTGGGTGGTCGAGGAATTTTGGACGCTGAGCAAATGTTTGGATTTTCCGACGATTCCACATTTTCTACGGAAACACCCATTTAGACTCTTTTAAAATTACCTAATGTACGACTACGAAATCAATTTTTGAAACGCACACCCTAATGACATGCTAATATTTAAGGGGGCGACTCTTGGGCTCATTTTAAGGAAAAAACTTCATATGGACGTATTAGATTAAGGGCGGTAAAATTTTCCAAAAAAATAAAATAGTTTTTTTATAATAACTGTGATACTATTGTAGATATTTTTATGAAATTTAGCATACGTCTTCTATAAATCAAGATGCATTTTCTGATGTAAAAACAATTTTATTATTTTTAGCACTGGCGTCCGTAAGGGTTTTGCATTGAATATTTTATTATTTTTTGAGAAAAAAATGGTACGCCACTGCCTATTCTTGAAATAAAAATTATTTTTGGAATCACCATTCATTTCTGGGCAAATTTGATCTCTTGATTTTCTTTCGCCAGACGCATGCTTTTCGCTTAAAAAAATACAAATCGTTTTACTTCAGGATAAAATCGTTAAATGTTTGATGCGGTGACTGTTAAATGTCAAAAAATAAGGTACTTTTTTACATTTATTTTTCGTTGATTTTAATTGGATACTTGGCAACACCGCGCATTTTTATGACGGAGCATAACAGATAATTCTAATGAATAAGTTTACATAAATGATCTTTTAATGATCCTCATGATTAGTGATGAGCGAGACTGGTCTTGGTCTTAGTCTGTGTCTTAGTCTTGCTTTTTTGCAAGACCAAGACCAGCAGAAAGCTTGCAAGACCAAGACCGAGTGTGAAAGACCAAGACCAAGTGGTGCAAGACTTACGCAAGACCAAGACTCTTGCGCAAGACTTTTGCGGTATTGCGTTCTTTAATTGTTGCCTGAAAATAAAAGGTAAGTACCCGGTCTTGGTCTTGTTTTGCTCATCATTACTTATGATTCCTTAATATATAAATTAAAAAAAAACACGTTAATTCATAGGGTTTTTGGTTGTATATTTGAAAAATACTTTTCTTCCTAACCTCTAAAATGTAAGGTTTGTAAAAAAAATTGTATTTTTAAGAAAAGGACGTCTTCCTAATATTTACCAAAAATACCTAAAAATTACTATTTCGTTTTTATGTGGCTACACTTTCAATTAATTTTTGTTTATTTTTTGAAACCCAAAAAATAAAAATATTTTAAGCAACTTAAATTATATTTTAGATTTTTTTAAGTAATATAATAAGTATCTATTTATCCATCATATGAAGTAATATGAAACTTACCTTGCTTTATGCAATAATTCAATAAGTTATTTGTCATTAATTCACAATATTATTCAAAATTGTTGGAAATTTTGACATTAATGTTATGCTGTTTGTTAAAAACAAATTGGATCTGTCATATTGACTTAGACACGAAACAATATACGGGGTAGCGAAAAAGTCTAGATCAGTGGTCGCCAACCTGTCGATCGCGAGCTACCGTTGATCACCACTTGCTCATACAATGTCTAGAAGACATAGGAATAAGAGGAAACTGTTTATCTTTATTTAAAAGCTACCTAACGAATAGATACCAGACTGTAAGAGTAAATGGGGAAGCTAGTAGTCGACAGATAATTGAGTACGGAGTACCTCAAGGCAGTGTCTTAGGACCCATACTGTTCAATATATACATCAATGGTCTGTTTTCCATCGAGAGCAGAGGTAGTGTTTTAGGTTTTGCAGATGATACTGCAATTTTTTATGATGCTGAAAATTGGAATGAACTTAAAAATATAGTAGTAAAAGATTTCATTAAAATAAAAGGTTGGTTTGATAACATGTCTCTCACTTTAAATCTAGAAAAAACTAAATACTTACCATTTAGCTGCAACATTAGAGGTCTGCCTCCATTTAATGAACTTAATGTACAATTTAATGGGCACCCCTATGTGCTTCAGCAGGTATCCAAAATTAAATATCTTGGAATATATGTAGATAGTCATTTGAAATGGGAATTCCATATCAACTATACTATTAAAAAACTTCAAAGCATTCTGTACAAATTCAAATATTTAAAAAAATACCTTCCAGAAAAGCAGCTAATAACACTCTACTATGCTCTCGCAGAAAGTCATTTTAGGTATGGTATTATAGTTTGGGGAAATGCTTTAAGGTGCCATATACACTCACTTGAAATATTACAAAAAAGATTTTTGAAAGTAATTTTTTCTCGGGAAAGACTGTATCCCAGTGACCTCTTATTTTCAGAAAGTAAAATATTGGAACTAAGGCAGTTGTATTTCTATTGTGTAGCTCAAAAATTTCACTTCAACTGTAAAAACAATAATGTACCTAACCACGATTACAATACACGTAATAAAAATTTACATGTTCTTCCACAATTAAGTAAATCTTTAAGTCAGAGATCCTTTGCTTATCTAGCACCCAAAATTTATAATCAATTTCCTGAAAGAATAAAAATAATTAGTAATAAAATAAAATATAAAAAAGAAGTTAAAAAAATCATGTATGAAATTCCTAGGAAACAAATTAATGAACTTATAGAATCAAAACTATCAAAAGTACTCACCTTAAATTTGCTATAGTTTTTATTGTATTCGACGTATCACCTTATATTTATCCCTTCCTTCATTTTTATTTCTATCTGCTATTTATGTATAATATTTTTAACCGACTTCAAAAAAAGGAGGAGGTTATCAATTCGTCGCGATATTTTTTTTTTTTTTTTTTTTTATGTATGTTCAGCGATTATTCTTTAACACGGTGTCCGATTTCAATGATTCTTTTTTTGTTAGAAAGGGGGTATTTCAGGGGTGGTCCCATATAAATTTAGTCAAAATCTAATAATTGGGTCCATGAGAAAATCCTCAAACTCTTCATTTTTTATGTATGTTCAGCGATATTTTTTTAATACGGTGTCCGATTTCAATCATTCTTTTTTTGTTAGAAAGGGGCTACTTTAGTGGTGGTCCCATATAAATTTGGTCAAAATCTAATAATTGGAATAATGAGAAAATCCTCAAACTCTTCATTTTTTATGTATGTTTAGAGATAATGCTTTACCACCTTGTCCGATTTATACGATTTTTTTTTGTTAGTAAGGGGGTACCTCAGGGGTGGTCCCATATGAATTTGGCTAAGATGTGGTGATGGCATCTGCCCGTTTTTGAAGTCGGTTTTTTTGAATTTTTAATTCGTAATACTTGTCTATTTAATTAAGAACTATGTCTTTTGCAGTTAGGATATCGTAGCTTATTACTGTAAGTTCTATTTCTTTCTTTTTTTCTTAATTATTTTTCTCGAAACAAGTGGGTAACCACTTATCGAGTACCTTTATTCAATAACAAAGTGTATTTCATTAATGTAATTAATTTTGATTAATTGAATAAATTATTATTATTATTATTATTATTATTATTATTCGGAATGGGAAGAACAATACTTTTTTACAGAAGTTAAAGATAAAAATGTGTGTTTGTTAAGTAATACTTCGGTCTCCGATGCTAAAAAAGGAAATATTGAGAGACATCATAAAACTGTACATTCTAATTTTGAAAAATCATTCCCACGTTTTTAGAAGCTGCTGATTCGTTATTTGCCAACTTTAGAAATAAAGACGAGATAGTTTCAGCTATAAAATCTTTGCAACTTTCTGCTAATACACTGATGAGACGTGTAGAAGTAATGATCAATGATATTTTTTTACAGTTAAGAACTGACTTAGATAACTGTGTTTATTTTTCACTTCAACTGGATGAATCAACAGATGTCGTTGACACTGCCCAGATGGCCGTGTTCGTCAGGATGGTTTTTAGTGATTTTACGATTAAAGAAGATCTTTTGAAGTTTATTCCACTGAAAGGACACATTACTGGACAGGAGTTGTTTTCTCATTTAAAAAATATTATTTCTTCCGAGAAAATTCCAATATCGAAAATGGTAGGCTTGACAACCGATGGCGCTCCAGCTATGGTGGGTTGTGATAAGGGTTTGGTGGCGTTATGTCGTAAAGATGAAACTTTTCCGCAATTTCTCTGTTACCACTGCATTATCCATCAGCAAGCATTATTTCCTGAAACTAAACAACGTTATGAAACTGGTGGTAAAAATTGTGAACAAGATTAGAGCTCAAACGTTACAAAGAAGATTATTCAAAATCTTAGCCGATGAAGTTGATTGTCAATACGGGGACCTACTCCTTCACTCTGAAGTCCGATGGTTAAGTAGAGGACGGGTGCTGAAACGTTTTAATGATGTCCTATCTGGCATAGTTCAATTTTTCAAACAACGCGATGAACCGACTCCGGAACTAGAAAATTCAATCTGGCTTAGAGATTTTGGTTTCCTCGTGGACATTACAGAGAAATTAAACGAACTTAATTTGCAGCTTCAGGGGAGAGACAAAGAACTAGCGGAAATGATTTCTGATATAAAAGCATTTATAAAAAAGCTGGAGTTTTGGGAACAAAACCTAATTACCAGCGATGCCAAGCATTTTCCTATTCTTTCAGAAAAAATATCTCAAAATCCATTAGAACCCTATGACAGCAAATATCATGTAGAATAACTTCAAAAAATCGTTTTAAGGATTTCAACGAAATGGCTTTAGTAGCGCAGTTTGTTGTTTCACCCTTTATGGAAATTGATATCCAACAGTTTGCAACTTGTGTTATGCAGAACTTTGGCGAAGACATCGCTGCAACAGAAATGGAAGTAATTGAGTTTCAAAATGATTTAGCCTTCAAATCGTTAGTCTCAAGTACCAAATGTATCTGGCCTATTGTAAGTAAAGACAAATATTCAGTTCTATGCCGTGTTGCCTTGAAAGTGAAAGCATTATTCAGTTCAACCTATTTGTGTGAATCTTCTTTTTCCAATATGAAGTTTATTAAGAACAAATATCGCAATCGACTTACAGATGAACATTTGGATAATTGTATTCGAATATCTGTATCAAATTATACTGCAAACATTAAAAAAATTATCGATGAGTCTGAGTGTCAGCCTTCTCATTGAACGTGCTTTTTTATTTTTCAATGTTTATGTTCATGATAGTGCGTTACTTTTTTGTTGTTATTATTAACTATTTTTAAATCTTACGTGACATGCCGTTGTGGCTGGATAAAAGTTTGTGTTTATTTTTCAAACACCTTCGTTTGGTAGGTAGGAACAAGTACGTACTAGTAATATTAGTTATTTTAAGTAAAATAAATACATATAATGATAAATTAACTGTGGATTATTTCAATTACGTTGCGTTACGTGGCTTCCGTGTGGGTAGCTTGCTGTTTATTCCAAAATTAACAAAGTAGCTCAACACATTGAGAGGTTGGCGACCACTGGTCTAGATCAATGACCTATAAAGTGTATATAATAATAATACTCTCCTTAATTCTCCCCCTTACGAGTGAATTTTAACCCCAAAAGCTGAACTTGTCCGGGGAAAGGGACGGATATTATTATTATTTGCCGTGGCGCTCCAGGGCGACTTAAAGATAATTGATAGTGCCATTTGACTTACAGGTGAGCAAAACCCGGAAAACCTCACCCACTATCATCGAAAACGGTAACGCATGGCGATTTTTAATAATCTGGAAGTCATATCAACAGAAATTAAATTTCTGCTAATACGGCACACATTAAATCCTATACCGAACCATGCAATTTAATTAAAAATTCACATAGTCTGGCGTAGGATTCGAAGCCCGTCTGTATCTGACCACAAACTTGCCTATAAATGAATATAAGCGTGTGAGACCGATACACCACCGATCCGAATACAACAATAGGAACATTAGAGTAGTTACTGTTACAAATGGAAAGATTTAACATAAAATCACCAAGTAAAGCAAGATTTTCAAGATATTCATTATTTATTAATGATTTTGTAAAGTGTAGGTGCGTATTCGTAAATAATATCTCTGGGGACTGACTTTCGGTAAATATTATAACATAACCACTAAAACTATTGCGCCAAGATGTAGGCAACACGTAATAAGTGTTCAAAATCGCGGAGTTTTCTATCTCCTTTTAAAAGGCACTCAGAAAGCTGCGCAGTGCGACCATTCTCCGTATATTAAGAGATAATTAAAGTATGTGATTGGGGCCATGAACACTTTTGGTCACTAAGTTAACTACTATCACCTATCAAAATTTTAGAAAATTTGACTGAACCCCATTTCTCGATAAGAAAATGTAATGAAAAACAGACGGGTAGAGGAGGCGATAGAGTCCTGATATTTGATTTAGGCAACCAATAATTCATGTACGTGTATAGGCGGGTACAGATCTGAGCACGTACGTGTATGAGGCAAGCCGAGGACACATGAGCATGCAGATATGGACGGGCTTCCGAGGCGCGGCAAATTGCCTCGTACGGCCTCGCCCCGATTCGTTTGTTGGCGGTACATCAAAGGGAGGCAATGCGCAATACGTGCTCAGTCTGGACGGGGAATTTGTACCATACAGCACTGTACAGATTATAGCGAGTTTTTGGGATTTTGCATGAAGTGGAACCAGAAAAACGTTTTGCTTCTCTTGGATTTAAATAATCAGCGTTATATCTTAAGAGAGCAAAACGCCAGTTCTATTACATCATAAAACAAGAATATCCTTGGCACGAAATTGGCATCGATTCCTTTCTCTTCTTTTTTCTTTATTGTGTCGGATAAAATAACAAAACATTCACTTAACTCCGCGACGTCAACCTCATCCTTCTCGAATGTTCTGGGTATATGGTTGCGTGCTTGCGAATTTACTGGATCAATGGTGAACAGCGCCTCGTGCGTCCACTATTCGTGTATACAAAATGCGTCGCACGAGGCATTCGGTTCGGCCTCGGCTTGCCTCATACGCGTTCGTGCTCAGATCTGTACCCGCCTTAATATTCGTTGTATTTTCTCCAAAAAATCTGTAAGCATGCGTTGTAGTTCATAGTTGTAATCTTAGAATAATGTTCTAAGGGCAGGATCGTGTACCGTTCCACTGGTGGGGAGTTCAGTGTCCTGCACGCGACAGGCGATGCGCGAACTATCCATTTTATGCCAAGATAAGTAGTTGGTATTGAATAAGCTACGACTATAGTAAAAGTTGACGTATGAATTTATGACACTTTCAAAATTACCTTAAAATGTCTAACAATCCATCTAATGTAATATCAGACATAGGATCAACTAGTCTTGTAGTAAAATCGTTAAAACTTGGAAGTAAACTAACGCCAAACAAATTTAAATGCAGCCAGTCTGAGAATAAATTAAAAATCGCCAGTAAGGGGATCAAAGAAAAAATAGTGAGTAAAGTTAGGTCTTGGAGCAGTAGAGACAAATTCCAGTTAAACGATAACACCGATGTCGATACACGTCTTCTGAAAGGTCAAAAAGGGGAAGATATAGAAAACGAATCCATGGAAAATATTGCCGATTCGAACCTCACACGTGCCAGAGGTAGTTTGGAAAACCTTCTGAAGGACGATTTAACAACGAATGATGATTTTAAAAGTCGTTCAACTTCAGCAACTGGCGGAACGGTACAAAAAAACGTACCTGAATCACCGAAATCGTCACCTGATACTTCCAAAGGTGCTGCAAAACATTTAATATGGGATCCATTCGATAAAAAAGGTAGAAAAAATAGAAAAGAACAGGGTAGGAAAAAGAAAAATAAAAAACATAATATGGAACAACCCAAACAAGAATGTTCCACCATGCCAGTAGAAGGAAAGTCATGTTTGGTAAAGCCACCCGAGGAAAAGGAAAACACAGATGAGACCGAAACAGTAGAAGAAGAATATACTACATATAAATACAAATATTTTCCAAAAAATAGTAAATCTGTTGTCTTTACAAATGAAGTGTTTGTGGTGTACTTTAATGACAATGATGTTTATGAGTCTAAAGAACCTTTAAAAAAGGACGTTGAACAACAGGAAAGAAATAAAGAAATGAGGCAAGGCCATCTGCTTCGAACCCAAGAAAAATATAACCTATGTCTTTATTAAATTATTGTTTGGCGTCTACTTTGAATATAAATACTAAATTAATATTTGATTTTCAGTAAACAATCTTAAAATGTAAATTAACTAGGGAGGAGTACTAACAGCTCTCCTTTGGTAAGTCCTAGTAGACCAATTCATAAAAATTCAAATATCTGCAGACTTCTGCCTAGGAGGGTAAGCCGATAACCTGGCGATCATCGTAAGAGGCAAGTTCGCAGGTACAATATCGGTGCACATACAAACCGCTCTAAACATCGTTATTTATGAGTGGTGCAGAAGTACTGACAGGACTAAAGACACCAGTACTGAAAGGAGTGAATATTCTAAAAGCCAAATACTTGTGAGTCATCTTTGACCACAGGTTAACAAGTAGTCACCAAAAAGGCCACAACATCTTTTGACTTATGTCGAAGGTCGTGTGGAAAAAATTGGGGACAACATTTGAAAATGTCCTTATGGTTATATACCAGTGGTCGCCAACCTCTCAATGTGTTGAGCTACTTTGTTAATTTTGGAATAAACAGCGAGCTACCCGCACGGAAGCCACGTAACGCAACGTAAATGAAATAATCCACAGTTAGTTTATCATTATATGTATTTATTTTACTATTTAACTGATAATACATAATACATAGTTACTAATAATGAACTAATAATAAAATAACTAATAAACTTTTATCCAGTCACAACGGCATGTCACGTAAGATTTAAAAATAGTTACTATCATGAACATAAACATTGAAAAATAAAAAGCACGTTCAACGAGAAGGCTGACACTCAAACTCATCGATAATTTTTTTAATGTTTGCAGTATAATTTGATACAGCCATTCGAATACAATTATCCAAATGTTCATCTGTAAGTCGATTGCGATATTTGTTCTTAATAAACTTCATATTGGAAAAAGAAGATTCACACAAATAGGTTGAACTGAATAATGCTTTCACTTTCAAGGCAACACGGCATAAAACTGAATATTTGTCTTTACTTACAATAGGTCAGATACATTTGGTACTTGAGACTAACGATTTTAAGGCTAAATCATTTTGAAACTCAATTACTTCCATTTCTGTTGCAGCGATGTCTTCGCCAAAGTTCTGCATAACACAAGTTGCAAACTGTTGGATATCAATTTCCATAAAGGGTGAAACAACAAACTGCGCTACTAAAGCCATTTCGTTGAAATCCTTAAAACGATTTTTGAAGTTATTCTTCAGGTTAGAAACTATTTCTACATGATATAGGGTTCTAATGGATTTTGAAATATTTTTTCTGAAAGAATAGGAAAATGCTTGGCATCGCTGTTAATTAGGTTTTGTTCCCAAAACTCCAGCTTTTTGATAAATGCTTTTATATCAGAAATTATTTCCGCTAGTTCTTTGTCTCTCCCCTGAAGCTGCAAATTAAGTTCGTTTAATTTCTCTGTAATGTCCACGAGAGAACCAAAATTTCTAAGCCAGATTGAATTTTCTAGTTCCGGAGTCGGATAGGACATCATTAAAACGTTTCAGCACCCGTCCTCTACTTAACCATCGGACTTCAGAGTGAAGGAGTAGGTCCCCATATTGACAGTCAACTTCATCGGCCAATGTTTTGAATAATCTTCTTTGTAACGCTTGAGCTCTAATGTTGTTCACAATTTTTACCACCAGTTTCATAACGTTGTTTAGTTTCAGGAAATTTCCACATAATGCTTGCTGATGGATAATGCAGTGGTAACAGAGAAATTGCGGAAAAGTTTCATCTTTACGACATAACGCCTTATCACAACCCACCATAGCTGGAGCGCCATCGGTTGTCAAGCCTACCATTTTCGATATTGGAATTTTCTCGGAAGAAATAATATTTTTTAAATGAGGAAACAACTCCTGTCCAGTAGTGTGTCCTTTCAGTGGAATAAACTTCAAAAGATCTTCTTTAATCGTAAAATCACTAAAAACCATCCTGACGAACACGGCCATCTGGGCAGTGTCAACGACATCTGTTGATTCATCCAGTTGAAGTGAAAAATAAACACAGTTATCTAAGTCAGTTCTTAACTGTAAAAAAATATCATTGCTCATTACTTCTACACGTCTCATCACTGTATTAGCAGAAAGTTGCATAGATTTTATAGCTGAAACTATCTCGTCTTTATTTCTAAAGTTGGCAAATAACGAATCAGCAGCTTCTAAAAACGCCTGTTTTATCATTTCCCCGTCTTCATAAGGTTTCTTTTTTTGTGCAATTATCTGGGACACACGGTACGATGCTTCAGTTGCAGCCTTATTTTTGTCGACTGTTCTTAAAAATATTGATTGTTGTCCAATTAACTGCTTTTTTAACTATTTCATTTTCTCCTTTCTGGCGGCAGAATGTAGTGGGAATGATTTTTCAAAATTAGAATGTACAGTTTTATGATGTCTCTCAATATTTCCTTTTTTAGCAACGGAGACCGAAGTATTACATAACAAACACACATTTTTATCTTTAACTCCTGTAAAAAAGTTGTTCTTCCCATTCCGAATGAAAGTGGTATGTCTTTACCTTCAACTACTTGCCATAATATTATTATTTGTTGTTCTCTACTAACCCAACCGCTGGACGTTGGTTACGCGTTCAGTTTTAAACTAAGCGCAATGTCGTCGCGCCGCGTGCGTATTTATACCGTTCAAAGCAATCTGATCGTTCTCGAACACTAACGCACTGGTCCGGCTGGTCGGTTCTAGCCGATTCTGATGGCGTCAGCGGCAGATCGCTCACCGCAACGTTGCCGCTGTTTATGTTTAATATTATGACAATTAGATTTTTTTGTGGAATTTTCGGAAGCTTCTCTGATTTTTGCAGTTTGTATTTTTTAAATTAAAATCGTTGTGAGAGCTACCAGAATTGCCTCCGCGAGCTACCGGTAGCTCGCGATCAACAGGTTGGCGACCACTGTTATATACCAATCATAAGGCCTATGATAACCTCTACGGGTTGGTGAAATGGTGGCCAAAGACTCGGTAAGCTGAACCCATTCGACAGCTCAATGGTATTCAAAGATAAGCATGCTTGAGTAACATGAGAACGTCTACAACAGCAGCTTAGAAGTCATGCTAAAGCTAACACTACTACATACAGTGAGCATCATAAGTCTTATCTCCCCTATCTAACTCGTTACACTTCCCTGGGGGCGCTCGGGGGTGGCTCTGTGGGAAATAGTGAAGGAGAAAGTGACAAATCACAATTTATGAAAATAATACTTTATTCAAATAACAAATAGTTTTTATTAATGTTGAATTTTTCATTATAAATTTAAATTTTTTACTTAAATACTAAACATCTTATTTAAACTCTTCTTCTTCCCCTTCTTCATCACCTTCCTTGTCACTTGCATGCAAGTGAGCACTCCAACCCACTTCGGCGGTACCCGCACCTCATGCCACAGTCGGTTTCACAAAAACAAGAAATTTTGCTTAAAATTTCCTCGGGACCGGCTTCCTGGGTCATGGGGACAGGACTGAGCTATCCTTCCACCAATTCCCACCTCCATTCCAATGGATCTAAAGGCTCGTCTTGAGTGAACCATACCAAGTCTGTATTTGGAAATAGACACGCTTGATATTGTCACGCTAAACAAATATCACCCTATATATAAAATATATATTTTCTATTTTAATATTCAGTTGTTAAATTAAATAATTCAGAATAATATTTTTTACAATATTTTAATAAACATTAGATTCAATTAGTAAATACATTCTCGATAAATGTAAATATAATATTAAACTAGACACGTTTTGACCTTAACCGATTAATATAAAGATCGGCCGGGTCAACAATAATGGTACTCTTAGTTTGAGTCTCATCATTGTCTCTCATCCCAGCGAAGAAGTGACGTGACGTGCCCTCGTCGCCATTTAGATGTTTAGCCCATGGTAAGGCCCATATTGTATTATTAATATTATTATTGTATATTGTGTATTGATTACTATTACTGATAAATAAATTGTTAATTGTTCTCGTAATCTTTTATTTCCCCAAGTCAGGTAGCACATAGAGTCATTATTTAAAGTGACTCAATCACGACAAATAGGCTCGTGACATAAAATAGGCTCGTGACAATATGCTCGGTTAACGCATTGGTAGTCAGGATTATGCGTGCAAGATCGACTTTTTATAATTGGTGGCTTCAGCATACATTTTTGCTAGATAGCTTTGGACGAGCTCAATCGCAGGTTTATCGCTCGTGCGCACATATTTGGGTGTCCCGTAAAGAGCCAAAGCTAAACGAAGCACATGATCTATTAAATTATCCATGGATACATGTGTTTGCTTAAATATTTCTGCAAACCCATGTAAATCATCGGATTTCTCAAACAAATTGCAGAATTTACTTTCCCTTTGTTTTTATATGTGTAATATTTATTTATTTAATACTAAATCAGCAATTTTATTACTTATAGCACCGGGTAATTCTAATGCCAGAATTGAATTCAGCATCCACGAAAACCCCCCGAGTAACGATTTTAGAACGATTTTCATGGACGCTGCCATTTCCTCTCCAATCACCCCTACAGAGCCACCCCCGAGCGCCCCCGGGAAGTCTAACGCCAGAATTGAATTCGGCATCCCCGAAAACCCCCCGAGTATCGATTTTGGGGTGATTTTCATGGACGCTGCCATTTCCCCCAATCACTCCCAAACAACCCTACAGAGCCGCCCCCGGGGAAGTCTAATGCCAGAATTAAATTCGGCATCACCGAAAACCCCCCGAGTATAGATTTTGGGGTGATTTTCATGGACGCTGCCATTTCCCCCCAATCACCCCCAAACAACCCTACAGAGCCACCCCCTTGCGCCCCCGGGGAAGTCTAACGCCAGAATTGAATTCGGCATCCCCGAAAACCCCCCGAGTATCGATTTTGGGGTGATTTTCATGGACGCTGGCATTTCCATCCAATCACCCCCAAACAACCCTACAGAGCCACCCCCGAGCGCCCCCGCGGAAGTCTAATGCCAGAATTGAATTCGGCATCCCCGAAAACCCCCAGAGTATTGATTTTGGGGTGATTTTCATGG